AACTACTACTCTCTCTTCTTCTCTCTCTCTCTCTCTCTCTCTATATATATATATATATATATATATATGAAAAATACTGAGATTAGCCTATTAGCTCGTATGAACATATGAGCTCAACGTCCCAGATTGAATCTGGGCCGATCTGATAGTCACAACTTCATTTCGTGTTTGAATTTTAGTTTTTTTTTATACAAATCTACATACCTTGAAATTTTAGGCCTCCATTCTTCTCATCAAGGCACACCTAATAAAAATATTTAAAACATAATTCGCAAAAAATAAATTGATCAAAATACCCCGGAAACATTTCAGGGGTATTTTGATCAATTTATTTCTTGTAAATTATTTTTTTGATATTTTTACTAGATTAAGATATTTTTTAAGAACACATACCTAAAATATATATATATATAGGGGTTTGTCTAGAGTTAACAACCCCTCAAAATACAAAAGTGAAAGTTAGAAGGGGTTGTGATGAGTGTATTTATCAAAAAGATGATTACTTTTTGTTTAAAAAAATATTTTAATAGGTAACTTAACCCTTAAGCAAGGGAAAATTTGAAATTTTTACAAAAGTTCAATGGCATTTTGGAAGTTAGTGTCTTGGAATTTTATTTGTAAAGTGCCATTGTCTTTTAGTAAAAATTTCAACTTTACCATTTATAAAGATGATAAAAGTACCCTTTGTCTCGTAGTAATATTTACAAAAGTGCTCTTACTTAATGATGAAGATATGACAAAAAGTATTTTTTTTTTAATATAGACTATAAAATTAATAAATCCACCCTTCACAACTCTCTCTATCTTTAACCTTTGTAATTTGAGGGGTTGTGAAGTTTAGATTATCCCTATATATATATATGGGAGAGTCTGAGGTCAGCCCGCTAACTAACGGCTATAGTAAACTCTCAATGGCCTAGGTCAAATATGGGTCGATCTAAAGGTTATGATTGTATTTTGTATTTGAATTTCAGCTACAGTATTTGATTTCCAAATCTGAAAATTTTCTGTCAAATTTTCAAACTGTTATTTTCCTAATTACAGAAAATAGTTAACCTTACTCAAAATAAATTTTAATTTTTTTCTACAAATCCAAATCACTTGGAATTTTGAGCGTCTATTCTTAAAAAATAGGCAAATCAAATAAAAATATTAAAAACATAATTCAAAAAACTTAAATGAACCAACCGCTGAAACTTTCAAGGGTATTTTGATCAATTTAATTTTTGTGAATAATTTTTTTAATATTTTTATTAGATGTGCCTTGATGCGAAGAATGGATGTCCCAAATTTCATATGATTTCAATTTGTAAAAAAATTAAAATTAAAATACGAAATACGATCATGACCGTCTGATCAGCCTAAATTCAATCTAGGATGTTGGCTTACACTATTCCATCAGCCCATGGGCTGACAAGATCTTTTCTCTATATATATATATATAAGGGCAGCCCAGCCCCGCCCTGAAACAAAGGTGAACATACATAAATAAGGAGGCTGACTATTTATGTTCATCTCCTTCCCATCTATCTTGACCGAGAAGAGGGGGGAGGCTCTTGCGGAAGCCTTGCTTGCCGCCCTTCTCTATTTATTTAAGGGGCTTCCCGGACTCATAACAGACGGGTAGGAACAAGAAGAGGCTCCTTAGTATCTGCCGTCTCTACCGTTGCAGGTCCTCCTTCTGTTGAGACGACCGTCTTCTAGGTTTTGTTCGTTCACCAACAAGCAAAGCAGCCAGTGGTAGCCAAGTCTTGTCAAAGCCCGCATTTTAGAAGTGAAGAAGACGGCACGAATAAAACTACTGGGTACGCTCGCTGCGATATATATATATGGAAAAGTCTTCCCAACGCCTATAGGCAAAAATGAACAGTGATTTCGTCTATCCTCATCATCGTCGAAAGTTCATCGCACGATCACGATTGTCCAGTACTGTTTCATTTTTTTTTTCTTTCTACAAATCGAGATGATCTGAAATTTGGAGCATGTACATCTTAGTGAGGAGCACCTAATAAAAATATAAAAAAAATATTTCGTAAAGAAAATTTGACCAAAATACCCTTGAAACTTTTCAGGGATATTTTGGTCAATTTATTTCATGTAAAATATTTTTTTGATCAAACAAAAAGAGAAGTTTCTATTCTCTTTACAAACAGAAATAAAACATAAAATCATAAGTGAAAAATTACAAACCTCTGAAGTAATTCACAAAATACAAACACTTAAAAATTTAATTGAAAAGAAATTTGTAATGAATTACCTAATGCATTTTGGAATCGGAAACAACATATTATTGGATTACCATCTGAGCCTGATTTTGATGAAAAGAAAATCCCTACAAAAGCTCGACCAATTCAAATGAACACTGAATTATTACAAACATGTAAAACAGAAATAGAAGATTTAGTATAGAAAAAACTTATAAGACCTAGTCAATCTCCTTGGAGTTGCTCAGCCTTTATAAACCTCTTAATAAAGTTTTACAATGGATTAGATATCCAATTTCGAATAAAAAAGATTTATTAGACAGACTTGCAAATGCAGTCATCTTTTCTAAATTTGATATGAAGTTAGGATTCTGGCAAATACAAATTAAAGAGGAAGATAAATACAAAACAGCATTTAATGTACCATTCGGCCAATTTGAATGGAATGTTATACCTTTCGGTCTTAAAAATGCTCCTTCTGAATTTCAAAAAAAAATGGACAATTGAAACTAAACCTGTTTCCATTAAAACAAACTCATACCATTCTCTAGTCTTGATGCCATTAAGAGGACTTAAATGGTTTTGAAGATATAGGGGAGCTAATTTATTTGGGTTGATATGAACATGTTTTTCATCAATAATAATATCAGCAATATAAGCATTGTCAAGATATACTGACTTGGTAGAAGAGGAGGCTGATTTATATGGGATTTGGGCTGGAGAAAAAGCAGGACTGGATGTTGTATTATGCTGTGGACTTTGGATAAAATATTCGGGTACATTATATATATATAAATATATATGCGTGGGCACATACTCTCAATCACAATGTCAAAGCTCTATTTCTACAACTTGCACAAGAATGAAAGCTTGTAGAGAAGTTTTTGTATATTAAGCTCCTTTGGTTCAAGGTTCAGAATAAATGTGGAAGACAAGCTGTTTTTTGTGCATATCACCCAAGCTTCCATAAAAGAATGCATTAAATGCACAGCAAATCACATAGATTCCATTACAAAGTCATAAGAACACACCTCAGTGAAACTAAACAGGATTAACCTTCAGTAAAGTCATTCTGATAACAAAATAAAATGGTACACTACAAGTTAAATGATATTCTTCTAGCTCTGCACAAACAATAACACTATCAAGATATTGCCTGTATTTAATTGTGAGATATGATCATGAATAATAGGGGCTCTTCCTGCTGCCTACTATCCGGCTTCCAAATACATGAGCGGGATGGATAACCTGCCAATAATGACAAGGGGAAAAAAACCAGTGGGACTTCTTTCCAATATCATAATTGGCAGTTGCTCATCCATAAGGAGGGCGTCGTTAAGACATTAGGATTTAGTTCTAGTCTCCAATTAATTAGGTTGGATTAGCTAGTGATGGGCACTAGGTAAATTGCAGTCCCCAACCCTGCTGTTAGCTTTGAAAATGGTTGAGGATTACCATCTGAGAAATGGGCTTCAAAAAAACTTTGCTTTGGGTGGTTAGGGAATATAAGTGGAAAACAATACCTCAGGAGCAACATAATTTGGCGTACCACAGGTTGTGTGAAGGAGGTCAACCCCCTGCACATGAACACAACAAAAAATAAATAAAAAATGGCATGGTCGTAATTATAGCTGAACGCACTCTTAACAGAGACAAGATAAGACTTCTTACTTGCTGAGGTAATGCACTAAGGCCAAAATCAGAAATCTTCAAATTTCCTTGAGCATCAAGAAGAAGATTTTCGGGCTATACACACAACCCAGACCATCAGAGGAATGAATCATAAGGTACCTAAAGGAGAAATAGACATAACTGCAACTGCAAAAATACCTTCAAATCTCTGTGGAAGACTCCTTTACTGTGGCAGTAATCGACCGCATCAATAAGCTGTTGAAAATAACGCCGAGACTCCCTTTCACTAAGCTTACATTGATCAACCTGTATTCATATAATTGAAGAAAAGGTGACAACAAGTACAATAGCCAAACATTATGTTGTGAAAAATACAAATAGGGAGGGAAGGCATCCAACCATGAGTGGAGGAAAGGAAGCAATAGGAAGGATATTAAAGAACCATTTCTATTAGAAAAGTACTGGCACCAACCAAAACCTCTCGATCACCTTCACATAGGCGAATAAAACTTTCAACAAGAAGTACATCAACAAAGTGACTTAACAGCTTCATTGATGTCAGTTAAACTACAGAAGTCCAGACTTCAGATCATACCAAAATAACCAAACCAAATAACATTTTAGCTTGTAATTTAAATGTCTTCACCTCCCTACCCAGCATGCAGGACAAAGATATTCATACTGAATGAGAAAAATATCTCATTTACAGTCCAAAGCAGGGGGCAAAGACCAGTGTATATGCCAGTCTCAACCACTCTGAAAGCAAGAAGCTTGAGATGATCGCTAATTTTCTAAATGAAACATACAAATGACATCACATGTTATTGAAGACCCACATGATTCTTAGTCCAGATGTAATTTGTCTCAAAAGAAAAAGATGTTTATCCAGAAAAACTTATGACTCCACACAACGTGACATTGCATAACAAAGTATGCACAGCCTCCAATATTAATCAAATCAGACCACAAAATCATAATATTGACTGATTTTGGTGAGTCACAGTTACTGCCTTAGTGCCATGAAAAGTAATCACAAGCAGTTCCTCTACATAAGATTCCAAAAAATTATTGGAAAAAAAAAAGAAAACAGTATAGATATATGAGCTAATTCATATCATAGATGAAGACTCACTATTTTATCAAACAGTTCCCCTCCAGTGATGAACTCCAAAATAATATATATCTTTGTTCGGCTGGCAAGAACCTGAAAAATCAAATAATAAACTTATCATTTTTCCATCAAGATGATAATATTTTCCTGAAAAAATTCAATACAATTAAAATTCCTACACACTACAAGTAAGATCTGATTGAATATTGCTTCAATAAATAAGCCACGTATTCAAGGAGAAATAAGGTTGTCATACCTCACGCAGCCTGATTATGTTTGGATGCCTAACAAGCTTCATTATGGATATTTCTCTCTTAATCTGGGCAGAGAGTAGGAATGTAATTAGACAACATTTGAACAGCATGGCAGAGAAATCCCTAATATATTAAAAGACATAAACGACAACCATCAAGGAAAATGGTTGTGTATGTCCTATGGTGATTTCCACAAATATAATATAACAATATGAATGTTCATATGTAGTCATTCCTTGGGAAAGCTGAATATGCATCAGAATCCAAATCCATATCAAAACCCGCCAAAATAAAACTGAGAAGCAAAAGGTGAAGCATTCAAGGCTGCCCAATAATGAAATTCTATTTGTCCTTTCAGACCCATGCAAACATTCCTACAATGTTGCTATATGAAAAGAATAAATTTACCAGAAGAATAGCAGCATTTAAACAATCACCATTTTTTATTCATATGGGGCCACCAGACTGGCTCCTTTAGACAATTGACTACTGCTCCCAAATCATATGGTGCTTCTAAACCCTGCCATATTCCAATGTGGACCACAATGAGATATCCATATGACTGCTTTTCTGACTGATTTTATAATCCTTGGGCCACCTCTAATTTATTGGAAGAAGTGCAAATGCTATAAAGTCATATTACCATATTTAGTTAATGTCACAGGCACAAGCCGCATGTCAAATGCCTGCCAAGGCAATAAACGCAAGCCGCTTCTCCGTGATTACCCAACATGATTAAATTACAATCTATCAGTAAGTTTAGTTCCCAAAGCTTCTGTTAACGTAAAACCGCATTATCTATCTATAGCCTATTTGATGTTATGAATAAAACTCATGTTACACAAATATGGCCTTGAGTTATCCATTTACTTCAGGAACTCCTCTAATTAAGAGGACGTTTGAGTGGGATGTTCTCAGTTTAAATTTTTAAGACTAGCATCCTGACTTTTCTAGTGAAAGACCTGATGAACCGGTCTAGAATGCAGACTATTAATTCCCACATCCCATCCAATTTTGCATATGGAGAAGAGCCATGATATGGGTGATTTTTTTTTCAATTTGAGCTTCTGCCATTGCAGCTAAACCGAAATGAGCTTTTCTGACTCTCATGGATAACAGGAGTACACAAACGGTCCTAAATTATCTTTCATAACATATTTTTGTTATTTGAGTTGATAAAGTGGAGGATGGAACTCAAACTGCAGTGCTTCATCTCTCATGCATAAACCAGGAAGCCAGAAAGGCTAAACCCCATAGTATGAGCTTCTAATACAAAGTCTCCCATATTCAAAAACCAACTGAATGCAAGCTAAATAGTTTTTTTTCAAAAAAAAAAAACTCCATGATCAACCATAGTGCTAGAAGACACACATGACCACGATTAATTAAAATGGAATTTGATAACAAATAAGTATTTTGGTCATTCTCTAGTTATTCTGATAGCTAAACATGAAAGGGGGAAGTGAGAAGGGAGAAGGAACAACTCAAATAAAAACATACAAATCAAGTGGTATATAAAATCAAGTGGTATATAATTTCCCTCTTTGAAGAAGAAGAGGCATGTGATTTGTCAACTTTGGAGCCATGTTAACAAGTTCCAATTTGCACTAACCAACTTCAATTTCTTTATTAGCATGCAGTTGACAAATTTACCTGCTCGTTACTCTAAACCGTTGAAGACCCAACCACTTAAAAGAAAAATTAAACAAAACAAGCACAAAACTAAGCATACATCATCCAAATTTCAATCGAAGGACTTTCCAAATCATCCATACAATGCAATGATATAAGTATCCGATCAGCTTCCTAGCGTTCAGAACCTCAAATATTATATTCTTAAGAAGCACATCATCACTAAGTAAAAAAAATGGTGGAGAATGGGAATAAACATAAAAACATTTAAAGAGAGAGCAAACCTGATCCACCATCTTGTGCCTGAGAATGGTGGATTTAGCCATAACTTTCATGGCTACGTTCTCCCCTGTCTCTGTGTTCTGAGCAAACTTCACCTTTGCAAAAGTCCCCTCACCAATGGTGCGCCCCACCTCATATTTCCCAACCTTCCTCATCAGTATTTTTGCAATAACTCAATCATTCACATTTTTCAATGAAAAATCCTCTGAAAAATTCAAAACAAATCAAGAATATTCAGAATTCAGCACTCTTGATGGCCTATAATCTACTTACAGTAAAAAGGAAGAGAAGCTGAGTCATGAAACTAATCATTCTACTGATTTCCAACGAGAAGTCACAAGCATTTCTTCAATGAAAAATCTCATATCAATTAGGAATCTGCCTATAAATGATCTGAAAAACCAAACCCGAAAGAAAAAAAAAAAAGCACCAACCTATTGAACCCACTGAATCCCAAAGAGAATCTATCTAAATAGGAGAAGATGAAAAAAAAAAATGGACTCTTAAATATAACGAAAATCAGGTATAATTAGAAAACAAAGGCACGTGGAAAAAAAGCCACCGTTGCTGAATTGAGAGAGACGATAACAAAATGCAAAACCCTAAATTTTAACTTATCTTTCTGAATAAAGAGAAACGAACAAAATTGAAGTGTTGAATTTGGCTTTCTGAATCCAAACAAATAACACCAAAAAAGATAATTCAAACCAGTGAACAAATAAAGACCATTAAGCAGGGACTCTTGGAAAAGAGAAAATTATTAACTAATTAAATTGTTAAAGGAAAATAAATTATTACCAAACAAAAAAGAAAAAGAAAAGCTCAATGCCTCATTTTGTCTGAGGAGCAGAGAGAGTCTCTGTAAACATAAATGAATGGAACTTTATATGATCATCCTATCTCAGGGAGTTTAGACTCACAGCGTACACGGTGTGCTCCCGCATGAGTACACTATTCATATTATCATCAATATAAAATTTTAGAAGAATTTTATCGAAATACACTTCATTTTACAACTTTTGAAAGAATTTTATCGAAATACACTTTATTTTACAACTATTAAATATTTTATCCTTTTTTTTACTATTCCAACTCAAAATTAAAAATTGATATTAAATCAAAACAAATAGGTAAAATGTTAAATAGTTAGTATCCTAAGTGCATATTGGCAAATTTCTCAAATTTTTGGGGTTATACTTAGCATCATAATCATATTTAAAAAAAATAGAATTTTGTAATTTGAGTTCTTGAAATTTAATATGACAATTCAATTTTGGTAAGAAGCAAAAAGGATAAAATATCATAGGCCGAGTTGTATCTCAACATGTTATACTGTTTTAATTAGTAAGTGACATTGTTGTCGGATATCATCTCATCAAAATCAAATTACCAATCACATCAAATATGTACAAGTTATATGCATTTACATACTAATTCTCCCTATACTAAAGATTATATATTCAAAAAAAGTAAGATCAAAATCCAAATGGATTAAGGATTATGGAGAGAGGTGCATTTCTACAATTGAATCGGCCGTCTCATAAAAATGTGTTGGAGGAGTAAAATATTCATTATGTCCGAGCAAAGCTTATGATCTTTAGTTCGTCGAACCAGGGTTCGAAAACTCGCCGAGTCGAGCCGGACTCGCCTGGTTCGACTAGGGAATCGTCTGCAACTCGAGCTGGTATCGTCCGTGTCCAGAGAGAACCGGACAATTCTCAATAGTGAATCACGAGTTATGGCAACTAAAAATCCTCCACACATGGTAACTTACCTCACATGTCAGCCCCATCACTTTTCCACATGCACAATGCAACATTTATTACACATATATTTATAGATAACAGAGCAACGCTCATCCTTCGATGTGGTATAATTCCCACCAAAAATCATTAAAGCAAGACGATTGAATTATTTTTATTATATTATATATAATATTTAGATTATAATATTATAATATTATATATTATATATAATATATATTTATATTGTATGTAATATTTATATTATTATATTATATATTATATAAATATCTTATATTATATTATAATAAATATTATATTATATGTTATATATGATACAAATATATATTAATAAAATATATTATATTATTTATTATATTATATTATGGAAAAGTCTTCTTAGTGTCTATAGGTGAAAATGAACAGTGATTTCGCCTATGCTCATCACTATCCAAAGTTCATCGTACGGTCACGATTGTCCGGTAGTGTTTCAATTTTTTTCTATAAATCGAAATGATCTGAAATTTGGATCGTGTGTACATCTTAGTGAGACACATCTAATAAAAATATGAAAAAAATATTTCTTAAAATATAAATTAACCAAAATACCCCCGTAAAATTTACGGGGGTATTTTGATCAATTTATGTTTTACAAAATATTTTTTTTATACTATTATTAGATTCACATATATTTTTACGAACACATGCTTCAAATTTTAGATCATTCCGATTTGTAGAAAAAAATAAAGAAAAATGAAATACTACCGGACAATTGCGCCCGTACGATGAACTTTTGACGACGATGAGCATAGGCAAAATCATTGTTTATTTTCGCCAATAGGCATTGTGTAGTGTTTTCCTTATGTTATATATGTTTTATATTTATATTTATATGGTTAATATGCATATGTTATCAAACACAATACCCATAACCTATTTAAAATCTTCTAGAATAAAACATTCAACTTTCCAAAAGATTTAAAAACATTAAACTTTCCATAATATATATTTCAAAAAGCAAGCGCACCCTTAGAGTGGATGGAGAGAAAATATTCATTGAATGAGTGGAAAATAATGAGCTCGAACTAGGATTGTTAAGTGGCCCAAGTTAGACTTTCGAGCCGAGCCAAATATCAGTCTAACCATTTCTTTTTTCTGGTCTGGGTTAGGCTCCAGCCTTATTATTATGAATTCAGGACACGCCCAGGGCAAACCTGAAACTAAATTTTCAGGGCCGAGCTTATCCTAATTATTGTTAGGTTGGGCTTGGACCAGGGAAACCAGCCTTTTAACTGCCCTACTTCGAGCCTGCACATCTTTAATCTGATGCCTAATTTAGGTCATTTTAATGTGAAATATAAAGGTGACTAAAATCCGTTCCCTTTCCCCTTACATACTTTGTATTAGGGGAAAGCTTTCTATGCTCCCCCTACAACATAGAAGTTCTATATTCCCCTTTATCCAACCGTCCATTTTTGAATGGAGGGCTAAGATTGCACCAATCACAATGTAATGTCTCTACACTATTTTAGTTTTAATTTTTTTCTATAAACTGTTTTGACACCAAATTTTGGACGTCCATTCCTATATTAAACTCACACTAACGAAAAATATATAAAAAATATTTTCAATAAAATAAAATGACCAAAATACTATTGAAAGATTCAAGGGGTATTTTGGTTATTATATTTTATCGAAAAATTATTGTTAATATTTTTTATAGGTGCGCCCCAATGAGAAGATGGAAACCAAATTTAATGTTAAAAAATTTGTATTAAAAAAACTAAAAATAAAATACTATAAGATGTCAGATCTAAGATCAAACGGTGAGTGGCTCTCTTGATAAAAAATGAACGGCTGGATAAACTTCTATATTATAAGGGGAACATAGAAAGCTTTCCCTTGTATTAGAACCTAACTTGGAACTAGAAATGTACCATTTACTTATATAAATAAATGTAAAAGTGAAAATCTAACCACTATGTTAAATGTCATCTTCACCATTCATTCGAGACATGGATGTTACCTTTCTTTGCTCTCTTTTTTTTCTAAGTGCACATGTAGCATGTTCACGCAGGAGTATAGGCTATACATTAACTCATTAAACAAAGTAGCTGATTGGAATGATTTTTTTTATCTTCAATTTTGAAATCCACTTAAGAATCATTAGGTGTTTGTTTTAAAAAGGAAAAAAAAATAAATTCTTAATACTTGGATAATGCCTCCAAAGACTGGATGGTGCCTGTGTAATTTTAAAAAAGTTCATATAAAGTGCTAATTTTATCTTATGTAGGGTGTACCTCAAAAACCCTCTGACATTGCAAGACCCTCTAACTGATGATATTGACTTCGAGATGCATGAATCATCATCATCATTTTAATATTTTTTTTCAATTAATTAGGGTCGGTTATATGAATCATGGTTCTTCATTTTACTCTATTAAATGCTATATCCTCAGTGAGGCCATATATCCCTATATCTTTTCGGACTACTTCCAACCACTTTCTTTTTGCCATACCCCTTGCCTTTTTCAGTCATTCCACTTGATCGAAATCGTACATCTTAACAGGTGCTATACTTGGTCGGTGCCACCCATGGCCAACCTACCTAAGTCTACTCTCTCTCATTTTATCACCTATTCGAATTATATCCCTTCTTGTCATGTCACTCATCTATCTCAGCTCCGCTACACTCATTCTATGGGTATTGTTTTTTGCTTGATATGCATGAATATTGAAAAAGAAAAATTATTTCAAGTCTTCAAAATAGTATATTTTGTAGTACATTATCCAAACTGTTCATTTTCAAGATTTTCAAATATTTATATATCTACTTGATTTGCACTATTTTTAGAGTTTAAATTTTACGATTCAGGAAAAAAAATTAACTTCCAGGCTATATAACAAAAATTTCTGACGTGAAAACTACATTTTTTAGCATATTTTAGAGATGCGGCATACTTAGATTGTTTAACACCTTGTACAAACCACACCCGTTCAATTTTGGGATATTTTTGGATAATGGCATGTGAGACTGCATTTTTTTAGAAGGCCTAGGCATTATGCAAACAAAGTAAAGCTTCACCTTGAGTCCTTGTCCAGAAAGCTCATTGGGCATCAAAAAATTTCTACGATAGCTCTAAAATCAATTTTTAACACCTACTATGAAATTTGACGTTAAAAAAATAGTACAAATCTTGCGGAACCGTGACTACTTATTTTTAGGGTAAAATGGACAATATAAAGATTTTATTACAATATACAATAGTTTTAGGTCTTAAAACCCTTATTTTCTTCACAATCATAATGTTCAAAGCCGAGACAATAAATTTGATGGTTTTTTGAAGATAGAATTACAATATTCGATGAGTTTTGAGGTGGGAACTTACTTATCTATATCTATGCTACATTATTAAGCCAGAGTTAAGGAGTGGACATGTCGCATAAATAAAATAAGATCGTATATCTAGAGAGAATGAAGGGCATGAGACGTTGAAATAGATGAACTTTAGAGTGTGGTATATTTCTATCATTTGAAAGAAAAATTATAGGATAAAGGCCCTCTTGCTAAAGACAAAGTTAGGTAGAATCACTTATGTTCTTTACTAATATGAGGTAGACAATATAGATAAAGAGGAGATCAAGGGTGATATTATTTTACAAATATGATGCAGACAAATTTTAGCATGATATACTTCTCATATATGAGAGAAAGAGAGAATAGATAAGAGTGAGATAAATAAAATGTGCACCATGATGTAATAAAACTATTCATATATAATTAAAGTAATGATCTTATGAGACCCTCTGGCATCTATGTGTGTAGGACTCCAAAAGATCAGCATTAATTTTGACACAGATATCTAAAAAAATTATCACATGAGTGTGAGACTTAACTTTTTTAGAGATGTATACCAAATTTAATGGTGATTCTTTAAGGTCCTACACACATGAGTGTGGGAGGGTATCATAAGATCATTACTTTATTTATCATTATTTCTTTTTTCTTTTTCTTTTTTTTTTTCTATTTTTTATTTCCTGAAATACAAATAATTCATTTGTTGAGTTTCCGACAAACTAAAGTATTGAAATTAGAATATATTAATAAATAGATTTTTTCAAATTATAAAGTCATATCCATAATATAATAATTCATCTTTTTACAATATTTTTGCAAATAATACAATTTAAATATAATTATATTAGTAGATAAATTCAATATTGCAAATAAAAATATATTACCTAAAATTCACATAATTGTGCCACATTATTGGAAATAATTAATTCAAATAAATTCTTTCTTTTTCATGCAAACAATATGATTGAGAAATTTTCATATTAGTACATATTTCTTATTAATTACCAAAAATAATATAAATGGGAATGGTAGTTGTAAATAATTTAAATAAAATTAAGAAGTAATATGATTGAAAAATATAATTTTTTTTTAAAAAATGAATATTTAACATCATGTGCAAAGCATGTACATAATATATATATATATTGATTGGCCGATGATGAAGGTAGGCAAATCACTGTTCATTTTCACCTAGAGGCGTTTTGTAGTATCTTCCTATATATATATAAGAAAATTTATATAAGGTTGCAACCTTAAAATGTAGAATTACAAATGCACCTAAAAAATCCATCAAAAAAGGTTATTTTAATATTGAAAAAACATCTAAGAGTTCATCTCAACATCGAGATGTATGTCTATGAAAGCAAAAATGGTTTTGAGTGCCAAAAATAGTGCATATTGCAAGACATTATCTAGACCGTCAATTTTCAAAATTTTCATATGTTTATAAATCTACTTGATTTTAACTATTTTTGAAGTTTAAAATTTTATAATTAGATATGAAAACAGATTTTGAAATATTAAAAAGAATTTTTTTTATCAAAATTACATGTTATGATAAAATTTGGAGATGTGCCTTAAATGGATTGTTTAATTGGATATATATATATATATGTATATATCCAAAAAAAAATTGTTTGACATCAAAATAAATAAAACCTCACTTTATAACTAACTGAAAATTATAATTCAAGCCTCACTTTATAACTTACTGAAAATTATAATTTAAACATTATGAGACTTTTACATCGATCATCTTGGCTTCAATATTATGGTTAATACAAAAAAAAGATTTCAAGCTCTAAAAATATGGCTATCGTAACAAATTAGGGAGACCGTCCTTTTAAAAAATAAGCGTACATAGAGATCTATACCATCATTTTTAGTTTCGAATTTAAATTGTCGTTGTTTGAAATTGATTTTAACCCATCATAAAGATTTCCGTTTCGATTTTGGACGAGGGTTGGAGGTGAGGCTTTATTTTGTTTCCTTAAAGCCTAGGCCATATTTGAATCCTCATCCCCCCAAAAAATCTGAAATTTCTGGGCATGGTTTGATGAATTTCAATTTTAAAACTTTCCCACTGCGCAGGTTCTGTCTCTCTTTTCTAGAACTTCTACACTGCTCAGGTTCTCTCTCTCTATTCTAGAACTTCTACACTGCTCAGGTTCTCTCTCTCTCTCTCTCTCTATATATATATATATATATTCTCTACTAATGGATAATTAAATCAGAAATCGCGTTCTCTTTTTCTCTCAGCATTATTTGATTGGGAATTTTGTTTCATTAATTTTGATTTCCGACTCATTTTGCCCTAGTTCTTCCTTTTGTACACTGCCTTCTTCTTATGTGTACAGTTTTTTCTGTGAATTGTGCGCTTAGCTTTCATTTTTCGAAAATGGACTCCATTTCATTCATGCATTCACGTTTTCCCTCTTATTTGCTTCTTATCTGAGTTAAACAATTAACTTTCCTTTTGTGAAAATTGAATCCGTCCTTTCTGCCTTCACTTTGAACTGCTTCTTTCTTCTTCTTTTTTGGCCTTTTATCCAATTTCTGTGATTAATCAGTTTGATTTTTTTTTTCTCTTATGCCTGGTTTCTAAATACTGTTTCATCTGTTTAATATATTTTTATTTTTTGTTTACATAAAATTGTTTTGCAGTGGCTGTTATTGCTGGGATTAGGGTTTTTCTGACGCTGAACACTTCCATAATCGGAGGAGGAAGAGGATCCACTGGAAAATCGAGGTATTTATGTTGCTTGAGAAAATCTGGTACGAACTTGCTCATTTAAAACTCTCTAGTGATTTTATTGTTGAACTTTTTAAGTTTCTATTGATAATTTCACAAATAACAGAAGAGAAGAAAGAAAAGAAAACTAAAAGAAAAGAAAAAAAGGGATAACATGATGAAGTATTTATCTTGCTTAGAGAGAAATCATATTTCTTAATGTTAAAAAAAAAACAAAAAAAGTTCAAAAAAAGAGAAATCCTATTTCTTATATTGCCACTTGAAAATTACAATGGTCACTCACCCCTCAAATGGGAAACTGGAAAGAACACGTTTGCAGTAGGAAGACAAGGCATTTTTCCTTGCTTAGGGAGCCCACTTGAAAACTTTCATTCATAGATTATTCATCAAAAGAAAAAAAAAGAAAAAGAAAAATCCACTGACAATACCTGGTCCCCTGTCAAAAAGAAATTGCTTATACAATCATTTGTACATCTCGGTGTTTAAAAAATTGGAATGGGCCCCGACTCGGCAAGGGTCTGATTCCGATTCTTCCAGTCCAACTCATTTGGACTACAGGTACAAAAAGAGGGGGAGAATTGGGTGAATTTGGGGATTTTCCACCCATAATTGTCCACCTTTCTGGTTCCAATCCAACTCAGCTGATTCTGAGTCAGATAGTTGATTTTTTAATCACTGGTTTGTCCTTATAATTCAAAAATGTTGCCCATTGAGTCAGATAGTTGATTTTTTAATCACTGGTTTGTCCTTATAATTCAAAAATGTTTGGTGGTTTTTCAGTGGCATTTGACACTTCGTTTGTGGATATTAAAGTGTTTGAATTAAGAGGTTGTGCTCCAACAGCAAAAATTTTTAGGAAGATGTCATTATTGATTTCAATTTTTGTAATTTGAATAGATATTTTGTTACTTTAATTCCTGTCGAAAATTGTGAAAGGACATTCGGCACTATTGTATGAGACAAGTTGTATTTGTATCCTACTTTTTTTTCTACCTTGAGATTTTTCATGTTGATTCATAAGTACAGTGATTGTAATGGTTGGTTATCTCCGAAAACAATTACTTGTAAGAATTTAAGCCTACAGCAGATTGGTTTTTCGGGTCATGTTTCTTTTTCTCATCAACAGTTGAGTGAGCTGGACGCTTATGTCTAGTTGCATGAGGAGTGCAACCAAAGCCTTATAAACACAAACCATTAAGTAGATAAGCTACAAGATTATGTATCAGAAGGAGAATCCAATCTGTTAAGAGTGTCCTCCCCCAACCTTTCAACTCTCTCCTGGTGATGAATTCTACTTTGCAATTAGCGGCTATGCATTCTCTAATGGCTAATCTATTTCTTTTCTGAAACAGGAACTAGTCCACTGCATACCTTCCCCCATACACAAATTCCAAAGTCGCGGATGGTCACTTGTAGCAGGCCTGCTTAGATCATTCATGTTGCCGTTGTGACACCCAATTGATTAGGATTCAATATGGCTTGTACTTATTCTCAGTCAGTAAAAACTAGGGCATTCACCGGAGTTTGAGAAAAACCATGGAGATCTCCAAGTCATCTTACCTTCGTTCCTGACCAATGGAAAATCCACTGGTGTTTAGCTTAGTTTAAAAGTTAAAACAACTACTTGTTTACTCAAAGGACTGTCATTTGTATGAATCAGAGATTGTTTCCATTAACTTTGTCAGCACCCAAAGGACAATGATCTAGGTGGTCCTTTTTTTTTTTTTGTGAGAATAAGGACAGCGATCTAGTTCACCAAGGGATATTCATTCATGGACTTTTTTACCCAATGAAAAAGCATCACCTGATTCATACCTCATCAAACTCCGGAATCCTCACATTGGATTGCCCCACCGGAAGGCACCATCAAACTGAGTTTTGATGGAAGCTTGAAGGGGAAGCCTGAACCTGGTGGATTTGGATGACTCTTCTGAGACCACCAAAGATAGATTTTCCTCACAGACTCAGGGCCCTATCCTGCTCTGTGGTTCCACCCAAGCTGAAGCACAAGGTCTGCTGGTTGGCTTCTGAACTTTTAATAGGGATTGGGGTACAAACCTACTCACCAGGAAGTAAGCAAATGTCATGTCATGAGCAAACTAATAATACTCCCTGCCCTTGGAGACTAGATCAAGTCTTGGACCAAATCAGCCACTATACCATGGTTTAAACTTGATGTTTAGGCTAGGCAGAATCAAGCGACGCGTTGGACGCTTCAGCTAAAGAACAATCCTTAAAAATCCAACCTCCATCCCTACCCCTACCAGACTTCACAACATTGAAATATTGTAATACAGCTCATTACAATAGGAATTTTTTCTAATTGAATTTTCATGACATACCCATTTCAGGGGCCCATAAACAATTTCGTAAAGTTTGCAAAATTAATGAAAAAGATAATTATGAATAAAAGGCAAAGGATTACTACTCTGCATTCATACTGAGGAATCTCTTTTATATGATAGACTATGTCCTTTCTGTGCAGTTGGTATTTGGAATGTTAATCATTCATTTTAGGGGCCAGGATTCAACATAAGTCATGCTTTTCTATGTAAATTTTTTTTTATTTTTTATTATCTGGATAAGAAAATTTCATACCTTTCTCTCACTAGTTGCAGTGCCCATAATTAACTGGTGTTCATTCACTTAACATGTTTCATACGTTCATGAAATGCTTTGATATAGTCGGTGGCCAAATGTGGAACTTACATGCATCAAGACTTCATTGTTATATTTCATATGTTAATGACATGCTTCTTTATTGTTGCTAGAGGAAAAAGGAATTTGCATGTTTAGTGGCTTATTGTATTGCTCACTCCTCTTCATGATGCATTGGTAGATTTGTTTTATGAGGCTGGTCATATGTTTGTTATGGATCATACATGAATTCTTATTCTTGTTATGGTCTTATATCCAACACCATTCTCTTTTTTTATCTTTTTTTGTGATATTTTAACCAAATTTCAGCAATTAAATGTGGGGCCTACCTCTTGGCATGTCACTGATAGTCCGTTAATTCTCAGAATTTTAAGACATGGTGTTTTGGACTAAGTGTAGACTATTTGATTTGGTGCAGGGGGAGATGAAAGTCAAAATACTCAGTATCCTTCATTGTTTTGATGGTTCTTCATTTCAAACCTGTGCAATATTTTAATAGCATATGATCAATTCTCTTGCATGTTGCTGATCTTTTATTGTATATTTTGGTGTTTTTCAAGTTTTGTTTCCCCCCCCCCCCCAATTTGATGCTGTGGCTCTACGAGATACAGGCATTTGTAGTAGGATTGTTTGTCCTGTTCTTCCCTTATATTCTTGGTATCACAGCCATATTTGTTTCCTCTTAACCATACCTTCTTGAATTACCGGTTGGACATGCTTACAGAGTATGTTCTCTCTCTCTCTCTC